GATTGAACTCATGTGGAAGTGGTTTTAGCTTAAACCAGCTTTAACGGGCTGTAGCACCAGGGAGGGCCCTTAGTTAACAAATTTAACAGGCCTTCCTTGGTGGCACAGAAGGTTAAAGCCAACACTGCGAAGGTGGCCAGGGTCACCTTGGTATGAGTTTGATCCCCACCCTGGACATGCTCCACATGGCACAGCAAACCTCTCCTGTCATGCCCGCAGTTCCCCTCAGTGTACTTAGTCAGTCTGTCTGTTCTGCTCCAGGCTCTGTCCTCTCATGACCCCTGCACCTCTGGCCTGTACCCCAGTTCTGTACGTATAAATAAATAAATCTTAAAAAAAATAAATTTAACAAAAGCAGTCACAATCCAATACAATATACATTATTAAGGAAAAAACTGCTCTTTTTCCCTACAATATTCTATACTTAAATAAAACCCTACTGTTTGAAATAAAATATCTTTATTTGTTTAATTACTCTTGATTCTTTGATCCCAATTAAATCCAAAACAACAAACTCCATGACTCATTTACCTTCTACTTCTATCTCCAGAGGACTGGCATATGCAATAAGTTATATTATGGTGTTTGCTATTAGATAGATTTAGGTAAGCATAGGCTTATAACTCATTGACAAATGATTCTAGAAAGCTAGATTCTGGAAATAAATTCATTCCTTTCATAAATATTTACTGAATGCCTACTATACATCAGACACTGTTATGGATCCTGGAAACCTAATAGTAAACAAAACAGCAACATCTTTGCCATCTTGAAGTTTACATATCAGATGGGAAAGAGATTTAGTCAATAAATCCATAGAAATGGAGCTCTAGTTCAGCTTCCTGTGAGGTATCAAACCCTAGTGGCAAATACTCCTCATTCTCCATTGAATACTAGGGAGACTGACAGCTCTTTCCATTCATAGTTTCTTATCTCTTGCCTCATGGAGGACATAAAAAAGAATGTTGGAGAAGCCAAGAGAGTTGGATACGTAAAAAGAATCCCAAGGCTAGCAAGGGGATGATGAGATCATGCTGTGAACCTGGGGGGTTGGACATCATGCTACACACACATATGACAGGTTCCCGGTGTGTATTCCCTGTGCTGTGTATATGTGAGGACTCAGTTATGTGTCAGAGACAGGGGGAGAGACAGACAGACAGAGGGTAAAGAGAAAAAGAAAGAAATCACGTTGGAGCCAGTTCACTTATTTCACTCAAATGCTGTCAACATGGGAAAAAGAAAGGGGCCCATACTAGACCAAGGAGCTGAAAGAGAATCCTTCCTTTCTGGGACCTACTGAAGAGCACACATCCAGGGAGGGTCATCCTAGCTCAGGGCAGTGGATGCTGAAGGGGGAGGGGAAGAGGTATAAGTAGCTGCCCCAGGGAGAAGTCCCCTGGGCACACATTAGCATAAGGGAGAAGTTTTAAACTTGTTTTATAGTTTTAATTTTGACCCTGATAAGGAGACATGGAATACCCATCTGAGACTGATTGGAGCACTTAAGTAACCAGGGGACATTTTTATCATCTAAGAGTTAGCAGATGAGCCTGTGGATTACTTAAAATTTCCTCAGCCTTAGAGGTCAGGATTCTTCCCACAGAAACAGGATGTGGGCATGGCCAAGATCTTCAAGTTCAGCTCTTGATGTAGATTGGTTACATACATAATTTCAGATAGTAGGACCAACTTCAAACATATGAAACTGGCTCACAGCATGAAAAATAAGGTGATCACTTCTAAATAAGTGATACTTAAATCTGAATGAGAGGTGACCATTTAAAGTCTGGGAAGAAACTAATAATTCTGTTTAACAATACATTTTCTTATCATTTGTGAGAAATGTATGTGAACACAAATTAGAAAAGTTGAATGCAACTGAACATAAGTCCCCCTGAAAAGCTCCCCAACAACCAACAAGTTCTGTCACAGTTTGCATCTGTTCCATGTCAGTTTCAATGTCCCTGGACCATGTACCATAGAAATGCCCAGTGTGGAACATCTCAAATCACAGACTTTGGAAATTCCTAGAGTAGGTGTCTCACACATTCAAAAAATAAAAATATCCTTTCCTAGAGTTCCTTCATTTCCATAAACAACAAATAAATAAATGAGGCTGTGTTGAATATCACTCTTGTTTCTTGGCACTGAAATACAGGAAAGAGGAAAATAAATAAGCACAAGGCTGCTTCAAGATAGTAACTGGAGAATGGCCTGTGGATTTCCTATCCAGCTCAGGGCTTTCTCTCCTACTGGGGATCACCAACAGACGGGTGCTTTTATTGTGCTATCTTAGTGCAGGGCCTGACAAAATTGTGTTATTTCAGAATATTTATCTACACAAAGGGGAACAGCTTTTTGCTTTTGATTTGATGTATCCCTTATGTGTCTTCAGACAGTGTCAGTCCCTGGTGCTCATGGATAAAGGAGTGGGATCTAGGAAACACACTTTTGCCAACCTCACAGCCCTTACAGAGACTGGGACACGGCTGGTTAGTTTGGAAAGAAGACACAGGCAGATGCTGTCATATAAATATGAAGAGGGATATCCCAGGTGTCTGATTTCCAGATAAAACAATAAGGGGGCACCTTAATATGAAAGCAATAGATAATTGAATGTACACAAGTATTCATTTTTAAAGCACTTTATTCTAAATGTGTATAAAACCTTCTCTTTGTAACATGAGCCCAAGGCCTGAAATAGGAGCTCCCTGTAGGTCATAATCTTAGTTCTTTGGCCAGACATGATTATGTTTAAATGTCTTTGTTTGTGTTGAACTCTAGGAATGAGGGTTGGGTGGGTGGGGTCCTACAGACAACACATTTTTGGGTTGATTAGGATCCATATAAATTCACATTTCTCTAGTCTTTCTTAAATTTATGTGCTAAGGATTTAAGTGACTTAGATGAGCTATTGTTTAGATTCTTCCTGAGGCAGGAAAATTAACATCTGCAGTCATAACTATTATGATGAGTGAAGGTGATATGCACTATAAATTTAATAGATAATTGGATGAATGAGACAAAAAGAGTCTTTACTTCTTTTCCTGAAGAGTCCATCATTGAGAAGGACTCACCACCAGGAGTTAGCAGTGTCCACTGAGGACCTTTCTATGCTACGCTGAAGGGTGGGTGAACACCAATTCTTTGCTCTTTCATGTAACACATGGTTAACAAAGCACATGGAGGACTTTGGCATATCCCATATTTCCCATGATAGTATTGTTTCTGAAAAACAACTTATTACATGTTCTAACTGTGATTTACTTTTTATACTGGTAGAAATCCACAAAACTTCAAATATATATATATGTGTGTGTGTGTGCATATATATACATAAATATATTTATATTTATAAACCAGATCATGATTTCTCTCTCACTCTCTTTTTTAATGTATTTTAACATCATTCTTCATTTCTGTACAAAGTGTGTTTTTCATTTTGGTTGTAACCCCCATGGAATTCCCACCACCAATTCACCCATGTGTCATCATCATAGTCCCTTGTGCCTTCCCATCCCTGTTTTGATCCTATTCCTCTCTCCCCCACTTTAGAATGTCTCTGGTTTATAGTTGTTTGTGATTTTAGCTTTTACTTTATTACAATTACTTTTTTTATTTTCCCTTGACCCTTTACACTCCACTTATGAGTGAAACCATCTGCTATTTTTCTTTTTCTTTCTGGCTTACTTCACTATGCATGATCCTTTCCAGTTCCATCCATGTTGTTGCAAGTGGCATGAGTTAAGCTTTTTTTTTGATAGCTGAGTAATATTCAATTATGTATATGTACCACATCTTCTTGATCCAGTCATTTATTTTTGGACATTTGGGTTGATTCCATATTTTAGTTATTGAAAATAGTGCTGCAATAAATATAGGTGTCTATTTTGTATCCTTTGGATAGATCCCTTGGAGTGGAAATACTGGATCATATGGAAGCTCCGTTTTTAGCAGTTAAAAAAACTCCAAAAATTTAGGTTTGAAAAACTTCCACACAGTTTTCCATAGTGGTTGTACCGGTCTGCATTCCCACCAGCAATGTAGGAGAGTCCCTTTCTCTCCACAAACTCACCAACATTTGTTGATTTGTTGTTACTAGCTTTTTTTTTTCATTTTTTAATATATGCCATTCTCACTGGTGTGAGATGGTATCTCAGACTATACCTTCTAATTAGAGTCTCAGAAAACTTGGTAAATCTTGATTCCTATACCTTCAGCCTATTGTAAAACAATGGGAAAGATCTATATTTTGCATTAACATGCTGGAGAAACTATCCTTCAGATCTAAATTTCTCCCTTTCCATACTGGATTAGGGCACAAGTGTGACAGACCTCAACTGGCTTACAAACAAGCTATGCTTGGGATCCAGCATCTTAACAAGTTCTCCTGCTGCATGGCTTAGAAACAATGCACCATTTCTTTTTCACTTGTCACAACATTCTCCCCCAATTTAAATCTATCAATGATATATAAATGCATGAGCCAACTTTGTCACTCCTTCTGCTTTCTTTTATCAATGTCACATTCACTTTCTCTAGCATTAACAAATTAAATCATTCCAGAAATACTACAAACCTGCCGATAAAACCCTAACAAGTAACTAGTATGGGGAGATGAGCTGTGTAAGTGAAGAGGCCTTCTAGTATCAACATTCAATATTGTTAATAGGAGACTTATCAATGTCTTGGAGACTGCAACTTTAAACGAGATGACAAATAAGAAAACCAGGTTCTCAACTAACATTTTTTTTTCACTCAAGGTCAGACAAAATTCTTTCTTTTCATTGAAATTATAAGAATCAATTTTGACCAAAAAAGCATTATTTGAGGATATGCTATATCCCCAACAAGGTTCACACCATCATGCTTGCAATGGTTCAAGTGTTTGACACAGCTCCCCATTGGAGCAGAATGCTGCATAGATAACACCTCTTACATCACGTAAATAAAACAGAAAAAATTCATGCATGCTTTTGTAAACGAATATCTCTTACCTTGCATCGTCACTTTTGTTGGTTCTGAGAACAGAGGAATGAGCAAGAGGTAGATGAGGTAGACAAAGGAGAGTCCATTATATCTGAATGCACATGCTGTGTTGGGAAGAAAGAGAAAAGAATGCATTAAATAACAGCAGACTGACAGGACCATAGTGTACTCAGCTATGACTCAGTTGGACACATTACTGCCTAGACAGACATTCCAGTTACAGGTGAAGACTGTGTTCTTCATTATGTTAAATGTGCTTACAAATGAAGAATTAAAATACGTAACCCTTGCTCTTGATTTTTAACCAAGAAAGCAATACCAAATGAAGGCAAGTTACTCTTTAAATCCTAAATTAACCTGGACAGATTAAAATCATGATGGAAATACAAAGAGTGGCATACTCATTTAGGATTTGAAATGGTCAAGTGAGGTTTTCAATGGACTGATGAAATTGAAATTAAAATATTTGTAGAAAAGTATTTGTTAGATTCTCTATGGCTGTAGTTTACACAGATTATCTCATGCAATGTTTATTTTATAAAGATACTCAAACTCAAAAAAACTCAACTATACACTTGAATCCCCCTGGCCAGGATTTGATGGAGTTAGACTTGAATTCAAGTCTGCCTGTCTCACAAGTCTCTGTACTTTTGTCTGTAGCACTCATATTACAGGTAGCGCAAAATTCCAGAGAGGTGCCCCAGTGGTTTCCTTAACTTTCCCCATTTTCTCATCTGGGAAATGAGGATTAATGTGTCTTTAACTGATGGGCTTACTATGAGGAATAAATGTAGCAATTCATTTAGAACATTTGTGTTCTTCTACATAAGCAGCTGTAAGACACATGAGTAATTATTGCATTTACCCTCATTATTAAGGAGAAGAAAGTGTACAGCATTCCATATAGAAATAAAATGGGCACATTATATCAATTAGCAGTAAGTATGAGTTGTGGGTTGAGGAGACTAATTTAACAACATCATAGTACAGAAAAATTTTGGAATGAGGTTGGGGAGAAGGAGCAGGCATGAGGATGTGGAGTTAACTTGTTAGGAAATGAGTAAACCAACAAAAGAAACTGACCACTTACTGGTAAATTTGATTGTGAGAAAATATTTTGGAAAGATTAATTTGACAACTCTACATGAGCCAGACTGGTGGGAGTGAGTCTTAGGTGCTGTGGAGATAGGGGTATAAAAATAAAGACTCAGATGGTTTGGTAACCACAGTTACTTACTTTGTAAAGTAAATGCAGACAAGTGTAAAAAAAGAGATTACACAAAAGTGATTCCAAGTCCTAAAACCCGGGGAATGATAAGCATTACTGTCTTAGAGGAAAAGAAAATATCTAAGAAGGAAATGGTAAGTCTACTTTTATCCACATTCATGGAGTCAGATCATGGAATTTAGATTTATTGGAAATGTTCAGTAAACTGTGTGGACCACATTGTGGCTTCATGACTCTAGAGGGGAGTGATCCCTGAGCAGAGGTGCTCGCAGAAATGGAAGAAAGAGCCAACTCTCCAAAGGCAAGACCAAAGAAAAGTGCCATCGATGGAGGCACCTGCCTTGGTACTGGGATGAAAGAAAACTGGCAAAAATTAAGAAATGGAGCAGAAAATTTAGGGAGATATGACAAAACCCAAGGAATTCAGTTTCACAATAGGAAAGTGCTCCAAGAAAGAAGTTCACTACAACGGAGGAAGGGATTTTTTTACTTGATCATCAGTAAGGAAGTCCTCGATGGCCTCTGAAGACAGGTTTCAGCCCAAGAGAAGGACGAGAGTGGACACATGGGGATGCATAAGGAGCACAGTCACAACCAGGAAACAGGAAACAGAAAGGTAAGTCATGAGTCAAGAGACCACAAGGAGGATGAAGGGGTAGACCTGGTGTGGTGAGAGCTGGGTGGTCTTATTCAGGAAATGAGAGGGGTCTGGGACCACCAGGCAACCCAGCATAGGATGTTCACTGGGTTTAAGAGTTTAAGAGGCTGGATAGAGAAGCACTTGTCCAGAGGCAGAAATTAGACAAATAAGAGCATACAGTCAAAGGGCCCCTATTTCTGGTGACTGATTCTGGAAGCTTACAATGATAGAGACAAATGAAGCGCAGTATGGGATGTGTTATAGGTGAGGATAGAATGGATGAAAGTGCTTTTTCATCCCAAAGGGAGTCAAGTTTTGATACTAGCATTTATATTCGCAACCTCGTGGAAGGGTATAGAACAAGAAGAAATTTCTACACTATATATCAGACTGTCAGGAAAATACAGAGGAATATGTCTTATTTCTTATCCAGTATTGATGTTGCAAATATTCAAATATCCACTAAATTTGGTTATTAATTCAGTCAACAATTATTTCTTATGCCACACACATAGCATGTGACAGGCTCTGTTCTAAGTGCTGGGGCACATCAAAGAAAACAAGTCCTTTAATGCCTCAGGGAGCTAACATTTTGGTGGGAAGACTTATAAGGAGTGAAGATCATAATAAAACAGTGATCAAGTCAAGGTATTATGCTATTCTAGAAGGTAAATGTCACCAACAACAAGAAGTCAGTAGGAAACCTCCCTGGTGGTGCAGGGGTTAGTCAGTTATATCAAGCTATCACCAGCCACTGTGGCATGAGTTTGATCCCCAGGCAGGGGGAGACCCACATGGCATAGCAGAACTGTCTCATAGCAGAACCGACACACCCCTCAACAGTGTATTTCAATAGATCTGCCTCTTCTCCCCCTATTCTGTCTCACCCCCCATTCCTCTGGCTTGTACCCTAGTTCTTGTCTGCATAAATAAATTATAATAATAAATCTTAAAAAAAAAAAGAGATGTTAGCAGGAAAAGAGAGAGAGGGACCTCTAGGTAGAGTAGCCTGGCTCAGCCTTTACTAGGTGCACTGAAGGTAGGTCTCCGTGAGAAGGCAAGATCCAAGCCAGGAGGTAAGGTGGGTGAGGGAACTGACCCAGCCAATCTCTGGGTGAATGGCCCAAGTAGAACATGTGGCTCCAACCCCACACCCTGGAGTAGAACCATGAAATCTTTGGGACTTGCACAGAACAGTTTGTGGGGGCCCCATGTGCCACGAGGCCTCTGGGGGTGCTGGGTCTCATGGACCCTGCAAGGGTCATTCTAAGTAGTCACTTCACTGATGGTTCTTATGCTCAGTTCAAGAGCACAGAGCAATGCCTGTGTCTGACTTTATTAGCCAGAAATATGCATCCTATACTCCACACTGCTGTCTAGCTAAGCAGCTGCCGCTTTCCCCTGCCCAGGTGCTTCCTGCCTCCTTGCCTCAGCAGGCACCAGTCCCTCCAGTAAGAAGCCCCAAGGTTCCCCCAGCAACATTTTTTTTTAATTAAAATTTATCTACACATAGAAGAGCTGGGGTGTAGGCCAGAGGTGTGGGGGGCAGTGAAAGGATTCACCAGAGTCAGAGTAGGGATCATAACAGGCAGATGTAATGAAATACACTGCTGAGGGGAACAGCAGGTGGGTGGCCAGGGGGGTCAGAGGTCAGCCACACCATGTGGGTCACCCCCTTGATTGGGGATTGAACTCAGGCTGTAGAGCTGACAGCTCTAAGATTTAACCTTAGGCCTCCAGGGAAGCCCACATAGCACATCTTTACACAGCTCACCATTCCCTCTTTAGGAAGGTTATTCATGACCCCAACCTTTCCGCAAAAGGCAGAGGGCTTCATGCCTTGGTGCCTCTTCTGTGCCCTTCCCCAGTCGGCCGCATGTTTGCATGTCTGTGGCCATCTCTGTCTTCTCTAGCACTATGTGATATTTCAGCTCATGGCAAGTTTGCAGAACAAGAAGGAGTAAGGAATGAATTAATGAGTGAATGAATGAATGATTGACAAGGAGCGAAAAAGACTTAAGATGTCTGAGAAGGAAACACTGGAAATTGGGGAGTGTAGCATTTCTGTTGGCATGATGTCACCACAATTGCCACTGCCCAAAATAAACATACAGTCAAGTAGAGCTAGTGACTCACTTCCAACAAAGAGAAGACAATAAATGCTTCAGGGAACCACTTGGGGGCTTCTCTTCTGGTCACCACTCAGTCTCTCCTCTGGGCTCCCCTGAGGAAGCCAGCTGGGAGCTGTCTCCTTGAGGCCCAAATGCAAGGAAATGAGGTCTCTAACCAGTAGCGAGACCTTGCCAGTCAATGGCCACAGGAGTGTGTGTGGAGGAGAGCTCTGAGACCGCCCATCACAGACACCTTGACTGCAGCCTTGTGGAGAGGCTGACCCTCAGCCGTTAACTCCCAGAACCTCTGAAATAGTATTCAGTGCTCTAGACTGCCAGTAGGTTGGAAAGTTTGTAAGCAGTATGAGTTAATATATACAATGCCCAAACATAAAAAAGCAGACAAGGGACCTCTAATAAACCAACTCCATTTCTTTTCTTCTGAAATTTTCCCTTTTGACTGGCAATTGCAGCCCAATTTATACACTTTCTGCTTTAGTATATATATATGTGACATTGGTACAGAAGAGGAGCTGAATCCATGACCTTCTTTAGCCTCTGGATTATTCTGGGGCAAAGACAGTTTGGTAGATTTATAGGAGTGGAATTGATGGGTCATATGGCAACTCCATTTTGAGCAGTTTTATGAACCTCCATGCGACTGTCTATAGTGGTTGGACCAGTTTGCATTCCCACCAGCAGTATAGGAGAGTATCCTTTTCACTCATCCTCACCAACATTTGCTGTTGCTAATTTTTTTAATTTGTGCCATTCTTACTGGTATAAGGTGGTATCTCATTGTGGTTTTGATTTGTATTTCCCTGAATACAACTGAATCGGTGGTGGGGTGGAGGAAATTTCACGGGAAACTACATTGTACAAAAATGAAGGATGGATGATATAATGAATATATTAATTTTTTAAAAGGCAGTTTGGATCCAGAAAACTCAGGAAAGCTCTTCTTTATTTCTCCTTTAACAGCCTAAAACAAGTTAGCTAAGGGATCTGAGCCAGGAAAAGAGCTCTTATCAAAAGTAAAGTTTTACAACAGGAAGACTTATCTGCACCATCTGGCAAACATTTTGCTAACCAGCACCTGTTCTTCCATCTTCCTGTGAACTGCTT